TTGCTCTTCGATCTTACTAGTGTTGAGAGATTTCTCTTCTAGCTCACTAGTTCTGGTTCCACTCCTTTGCCCTTTCAGTGTATTGTCCATTCCTGATATTCTATTATTAACCACTTGGACCTCTTTCTGTAAGTTATGAATTGTTTCCAGTGCTATATCTATCTTTTTAATTGTTACTGTAGCTCTTTTTTGACTTCTTCCTTATTTTTCTCAACTCCATTATATAGTATTTTGATACATTTTATAATTATTTTTCTGAATTCCTTCTCAGGCATTTCCAGAGCCTGCCCATCTTACAGTATGGATTGTAGGTCTACTTCCAGCTAACTTGCCTCAGTCACTTTATCTCGTTTCTGGACATGTGCAGATACGGTCATCTGCTTCTGTTTTTGGGGGGCATATTCAGGAGTTTCACCACTCGTCTGTTAGTTTGTCGTACTGTCGTAGCTTGTGAGTTGCTGTGATTCTGAAAGCTATGCCACCGGTATTTTAAATACCAGCAGGGTCATCCATGGTGGACAGGTTTCAGATGAGCTTCCAGACAAAGACAGACTATGAAGAAGGAGAGACGAACTACTTCTGAATATTTAGGCACTGAAAACCTTATGAATAGCAGAGAAACACTGTCAGATATAGTGCCGGAAAATGAGCCCCTCAGGTTGGAAGGCACTCAGAATGCGCTGGGGAAGAGCTGCCTCCTCAAAGTAGAGTTGGACTTGATGATGTGAATGGAGTAAAGCCCGTGGGAAAAAAGCCCATGGGAACTTCATTTGCTGATGGGGCACAACTCAAAATGAAGAGAAACAGCTGTAAACATCCACTGAAAGTTAGAACATGGAATGTACAAAGTATGAATTTGGGAAAATTGGAAGTTGTCAAAAATGAAATGGAACACATAAACATTGACATCTTAGGCAGTAGTGAGCTGAAATGGACTGGTATTGGCCATTCTGAATCTGACAACCACATAGTTTACCATGCTGGAAATGACAAATTGAAGAGGAATGGTGTTGCATTCACTGTCAAAAAAACATATCCAGTCATGCGGTAGGTACAATGCTGTCTACGATAGGATAATATCCATACGCCCAGTTAATAACACTGTTTTTCAAATATATGCACCAACCACTAAGGCCAGTGAAGATGAAGCTGGGTTACATGAAGAAAAATGTGGCATGAGGATTGGAGGAAGACTGACTGACAACTTATGATATATAGATGATACAACCTTGCTTGCTGAAAGTGAAAAGGACTTAAAATGCTTACTGATGAAGATCAAAGAGCACAACCTTCGGTGTGGATTACATCTCAATGTAAAGAAAACAAAA